GAGAGAGAGAGAGAGAGAGAGAGAGAGAGAGAGAGAGAGAGAGAGAGAGCGCAACAATTTTAAAATAGTGTTGAAAAAACAACTTTGATAAGCATTTCAAAACATGGAAAGTAGGCATACAAAGCTTCCCAGTTGGCAGGTCATAATCGAAGGCATCAACGTGGTACGAAAGGCTGTCGATGTAGAAGAAGGTTCTGTGATCCAGAGACCAATCCAAACCATTGGAGATGTCCACCTTGTCAAAATGTTTCACCACAGAATGGTCAGGAAAGAGAGTGTAGAGTGAGCCCTGGTGCCGCTCAACCACCGCAGGACGAATCTCCTGAGACATTGTACCTATGAGAACCAGAGAGTTAGCAGGGAAAGATAACAAAGCACCACAGAGACCAGTTAGCTTCTTTTCTTCTCAGTGGCCTCTCCATAATACAAATACAAGTAGTCCACGACTTACAGCAGTTCATTTAGCGACCGTTTGATGTTACAATGGCATGGAAAAAAGTGATGTATGACTATTTTTCACATAACATTGCAAGATCCCCATGGTCATATGATCAAAATTCAGATACTTGGCTACTGACTCATATTTATGATGGTTGCAGTGTCCCAGTGCAATGTGACCATCTTTTATGACCTTCTGACAAACAAAATGAATGGGGAAGCCAGATTCACTGAACAACCATGTTCCTAGCTTAACAACTGCAGTGATTCACTTAATAACTGTAGCAAGAAAATTCATATATAAAATTCAGCTGTTAGACAAGGAATGGTGCTATTAAACTGTAATCCTAATCAAATTGGGAGACATATTTTAAATTCCACAAATACAAGAGGAGTCTTGTAATACTTTTTCGAACTGTGACATGTTTTATTAAAAGAACTAAGCTCCCATGGATGGTAACTCATTTACTCATATGCAGGGATTGGATAAACTACAGGATTTAAACCAGGATGATGGTGGGGAGAAGGGAAGATGGGTTTGTTATGCAGAGATAGATTACCTGTGGGACAAATTACAAATACTTTGCAAATTAACAATTTAATGCCCTAACAAATGTTGTTTGCTGAAATTTTCTGGATTGGATATAGTCCCTTGTTGAGAAAAAATGTCCTGGGAAGATTTTAAAATTAAAACAACTGATTTCAAAATACAAGCTATCCCAGTTAAAAATACATTTTTATGGACAAAAGAAAAATGTACACATATCCAGCATTTGGAACTGGATAGGTTCATATGCATACACAACAGCAAGTAACTATAATAGGGGCAGGATTGATACAACTCCTGAACATGAGTGTGATGGTCAATGAAATTTGCAGCAAACCAGTGACACCAAAATGATGTCCCACAAAGACATTATCCTAAAATGCTACCATTATATGACTGTCTTATAGTCTGATGCAAATACATAAGCCACAACATTTGACTTAGACATTGGCATACATACTTCATCATTTGCCCATTCCGTCCCTCAAATAACCCGCATGATTAATAGTATGGAAGTGTAAATGTAGGATCTCGTTTTGTCCTCAGCAAGTCAGCCCTCCCCATGGAAGGAGCAGCAGAGATAAAGATTCTACTGCATGGAACTAGAAACTACCATCTTACAAAGGATACAATTTCTTGAGAAAAAAAAAGAATAATTTTTAATAGATTGAATTAAGACCTAGTTACCTGCAACTAATCTTCCTGCAGGATCCACTTTCCCATCATTGAATCGGTTGTTGGGTTTATCCTTCTCCACATCAATAATGGTGGTAATGGACTTCTTTTTCCAGTCAAGAGCTGCAAACTGGGTTCCCCGTGTAATAATGTAGCCACCAGATTTACGAAGTGATACAGTGCTCACTGGGGCATCTGGAAACCATATTAAGGGGAATAGGAGGTATTAAGGAGAGAAGAAATGGTAGTAACAAAAATAGTAACTGTATATCTAACAATTTTGATAATTTTCCTTTGAAAGTTATCATGTAGTACTTCATAACAGCCAGCCTGCTCTCCATCCAGTAAATACCATGCTGGTTTTTACTGGTATTCAACTATCAACATGCTTCTTTCTATCACTTAAATTTTAGAACATTAAATATTCAAGAACAAAGGTAAACATTTGGCTTATTAAAATAAAACTGTTTTACTTACCCACAGAAATACTTTGCAGTTCTTTGGTGAGAGAAGTCCATCGATAGACTTTTTGGCCAGTTATATCTACAAAAAGAAGGGAATTTTCCTTTTCCTCCCATACAGGCGATTCTCCAATCTTGCAGTTCACTGGCACAATGCATTCAACTTTGACAGACGACATTGTCTTATTTTCCAAAAGCAATCAAGGGATAAATGCAAATGTTACTTTAAATTGGCCAAAACTGGATAGCCTTATAGACTTCAATAGCAGCTAAATATAGAATTTCTAGACCTTTGGTTGTTTGGCTCAGCAGAATTTCAATAATTAATCTGATGATTTAAAGTGCAATTCCAAAAGTTTACCCAATCAGTTGCCTCTGCTGTTCCCTGGCTTCCAAAATCTCCCCAAACTTAAAACAGCTGGTATTGCTAATCTTTAATGACAGCTATTATCTTCAAAGTTAAACATTGCCAAATTATGGTACTGCTGAATGCGTTTTTTTAATGTGTTTGCCTGCCTGCAAATACTAACAAGTAGGTCAAACTTCAAAAGATCTTTGATCAGCATTCTTTTCAAAATGCTTGCCTGTTAAGGAGAAGAGGAGAGAGAAAAAGAAAGTATTGCATATTGCTATGATATTTGTTCAGTGGAAATGTTCTGTGCAAATGCGTGAAAAATAACTTTAAAGAGGCAGCAGACATTGCACTTGAAAAAATGGCCACATCATGTACTGCTGACATCTAACACTACTTTACTGTGTCAAACAAACATATGTGGAAAAGGTTATATTGGCAAAAAAACACCGAGCCAGAACGATTTTGCAGAGATCAAGATTCAAAGGGCAAAATATTATTCCAAGTACATTTGTAGTTCACATGTAGTGTCTTACAGAAACCACCTAAACCCGTGTTTCTCATATATTATATAGTTTGTCCTGGCCCTCTGTAGAGACCTATTAGCAAATTACAGTGTTCAATGTGTCCTAAAATCCTGATCTATGGATTTTGTTATGGTTCCAACAGTCATGCAATCACAGAACATAGGACTCAATAAGATATGACTATGATGTAATGCAAATATGAGAGTCACTCTGTCGTAGTGATTAAGGAAGGCATCAAGCTAAAAGACCCTGAGTTCTAGTACTGTATTGGGCACAAAGCCAGCTGGGTGACCTTGGGCCAATCACTTTCTCTCAGTCCTAGGAAAGAGCCAACTGCAAACCACCCATAAAAGTAAAACTGCGGGAGTCCTGGCAGAGTCTAAGAATCAGGAAGAAAAAAAAAAGAATATAGACAGGAAATCCCAACAAAGTACACATGTAGAGGGCTACACTGGTATTGTTTTAATGTATTTGGTATATACTGCTCAAGAATTCTGCCGGACAGGAAACTTAGAATATATGAGCGCTCTAATAAAACCAGGACTGTTTTCCATGGCTACTAGAAATTTAGATACATCGGTTCGGGATACCATATGGCGCTGAAATCCGAACAATCAATAGTAGCAAAGAGGTACTATTTTGCCCAACGATGGTAGCCGGACAATCCGCTCCGGAGGCAGCAAGAACGTGGAGCCCAAACGTTATAAACAAATATGTACATTGGACTAAGTCTACCCTGCGGGGAATTAGGAAATGTTCTAAATTCAAGTATTTCTCTGCACTGCGGTGGATGGTCGTGTTGATGCTTGCCAACTGCCCAGGCAGCGAGTGACCGATAAAAATGTCTTCACGCTGCAAAAAGGGCACTTATCCGAAGGGCTGCGGGGGGGGGGGGGGGGGGAGACGGAGACAGAGAGAGAGAGAAAGCAAAATGCTGCCTTCTTTACACTGAAGCTTTCATTCTCCGCGAGTGGGAAGCCACACATATCCCTGTCCCTCTTTTCACTCGCGACAAATACATGCGGAGTACGAAGATCGTCCCTGCTCAACTTTGGGGAGAAAGCGGATTGGCAGTAACATTGAGGATGGGACCCCGTTCCTATCATCCATCAATCTCCAGGCTGAATCTATATGTGAAAAGAAAGCCTTGAAGCCCCTTCCGTCCCGGGATCTTGGAAAGTAGGAAGGCCTGCTCTTCCCCCGGCCGATGTAACAGGTGGCCTAGCCTGGGAGGAAGCGGGGGGGGGGGGGGGGGGGGGGGGGGGGGGAGGCGCCGCCTTCGTTCAGTGCTGGTGGGGCCTCCCGTGACTCACCGCGACGGGGCTGCAGCGGTGATGAAGCTCCGGGTAATTTCCGAGGACAGCGCCTGGGAAAGGCCTGACCGGCTCTCCTCTGTAGGCGTCGTTGAGTTATTCTTGTTGCAGCGGCGCCCGGGAGCAGAAAGTATCGATTCTCTAACGCCGCGATTTCAACTTTGGAAGTTATCAATTCTTACTCCGAGGAAGAAGTGATTCTGCTAATGTGCATCAAACTCTGATGAAGGTGGATCCCACCATTTGCAATCTCTGTACCTGTCCCTCTTTTCCCTAGAGACAGATAAACGTGGCGTACGAAGATCGTCTCTGCTCAAGTTTGGGGAGAAAGCGAATTTGAAGCAACATTGAGGACGGGACGCTGATCCTATCACCCATCAGTCTCCAGGCTACTTATAACTGATAGGCTTAGCACATAATTAAAAATACCGGTTTGGCCACAAAATTATTTTTCCCTTCTTAAGTAATACTCCTTAATTATACTTTATTGGTTTCCCCTTTTTAATTATATTGTTATATAATATGATTGTAATATTATATTTGGGGCGGGAAGGATCGAGAAGCCAAGAAAGGAGGAGCAAGTTTAAACTGAAGGGCCGTAAACACTTTTGACATTTAGATCTTAGCTCATCCACTTGTATGCATAAATATGTCCCTAATACTCTTGGCTTAATTAAGGAGTATAATTAAGAAGGAAAATAATTTTTGGCCAAACCGGTATTTTTAATCATGTGCTAGCTATCAGTTATAAGTAGCCTGGAGATGGATGTGATTGGTAAAACTCAGGCTGGTAAACAAGACAACATCCGTCAGCTGCTTACTTATCTTTTATTTGGTAACCATCCTAGAATTTTTTTAAGCAGTTTGAAATAATTAATGCTGAGTAGATTAAATTGTGATTGTATGACTCATTCACATATTTAAAGACATTTAAGTACATTTGCTTGCTTAAATTACATTTATGTATTGACCAAGTTCAAATAATGCACTGAGCTGAAACCAAATAGAAAGAGAATGGTCTGAACTAGCCAAAATAACATATTTTTATCAAGTGGCCCGTTCGAGTAATTTACACAATTATGTATTACACAACTGTTACACACATACACAATGTGTAGTGTATGTGTAACTGAGTGAGCTAGAAGAAAGCTTCCAATTTAATGCAGGAAACCACCAGAAAAAAACAGAACAAATTTTGTTTCCATTAACAGACTATTATTTATTTATATTTTATATTTCTAAATGACCCATCACCCTAAACCAGGGTAGGGTAAAAATTAACATTAGAAATTAAAAGTTAAATTAGTGTTAAAAATTAAAAAAAGAATAATGACAAACATAAAAAAGGGGGCGGAATACTAAAATGGCCATAAGGTGTTAAGATTATTACAGGAAGGGGGACTCAAGAGAGTAGCCAGCCCCATAGTTGTACGGTCCTCTGTACTCCCCACGCAAGGCCATGCCATGTTTTGACCCTTTGTCATTGGGGGCTTTGCTCACTTCTGGGAGCAAAGCAGTGGCAGCGGCAAAGAAGGCTCTCTTCCTAGACCAGTCGAAATTCTTTGACTAACGGGGTTTGTAGCATACCTTTAATGGCTGACCAGCCAGATGGGCTGATAAAATTTGGCAAAGCTAGTTTTGTAGCTTTATAGGTGATGGCCAATACGTTGAGTTAGACTTGGAAGCAAACTGTTACCCAATGCAGTTCACGGGGCAAGGGTGTTATATATGCCCTTATTTGGGCACTCAGTATGACTGATGCAGCCACATTCTGCAGCAACTGAAGCTTCAGGATAATTTTAAGGGGTAGCCTCACATAGAAAGTGTTGCAATAGTCCAATCAGGAGATGACCAGGGCATGAGTGACCAGATATAGACTCCCAGTCCAGGCAAGGGTGTAATTGGCACACAACACAGAATTGGGAAAAGGGCAGCTTGGCCACAGTCACCACTTGTTCTTTGAGCAGGAGCTGTGAATCCAAGAGGACCCTTAAGTTACACACCTGGTCTGGCTGGAGCAATGCAACCACATTCAAGACCAAAGATAATTAACTCTTGGGTATAGAGGGACCCACCCACAGCCACTCTGTGTTATTGGGGTTCTGTTGAAGTCTATTGTTCCCCACCCAGACCCCTATAGCCTTCATACTAATTTCAACCAATTTCGTTGTATTTAAGTACAATGACAATAAAGATTATACATGCATACATTCCAATGTTTATTTCACCTGGGACAGAGATATATAGAAGAGTATCATCAACATATTGGTAATATGTCAGCATCAATATTTCACTCCTCCGGGTGCCATCTACCAGCCAATGCCACCTGGCTATTACCCAGGGGAGGGCCTTCTCTGTGGCAGCTCC